CCTCCTGCCCACCGACCCCCTGCCCCTGGCCACAGCGGGAGGCAGCCAGCCAGGAGCCGTCAGCCTATGCCAGGGCAGCCGCCGGCCCAGCCTCTGCGCCTGGAGCCAAACCCCTCGGAAACCACAGGGGCTGAGTCTACGGTTGAAGCACCAGGAAGGGGAGACACCATCTGGGCCCCAGCTGCCCCACCCGGGGTCCGGAGCAGTGTGGGTGGCCACAGGGAGACCCTGTCCCGAGCTGCCCCAGTCCACTAGGCAGGCAGATGACGAGACTCGCGGTAGGGGCGCTGTCACCCTCAGCACAGGGTCTGGCCGGGTGCCTGGGTGCCGCTCCGTCCCGGCCAGCGAGGGCAGGGGTGAGGGCACGCCCACCCTCCCCCACACCCGGCCCAGAGACTGCAGTCCCCGGGGGGCGCACAGAGCTGGGGCCACAGCCCCACAGCTAGAAAAGCCCAAGCGGCCGGGTCAGCTGGGCGTGGGCCTAGATCCTGTGTGCAGGGCTGACCCTGGGTGTCCCAGGCTCCAGTGACACCCCCGGAAGAAGGGAAGAGGCTTCTAACCAACAGCGAGGCTGCACTTGTCTGTGTGCTGCATGGCAGACAACTCAGAAGGTGACCCAGAGGGGATGCGACTCCCCAGCCCCTTCCCCGCTGCAGGGCATTTCTCACGGGGTTCGGTGGACATGTAAGAATCAGGGCCCTTCCCTACCTCTCCTCTTTTCTGCACACTGCTGGTAGGATGGTGCTGTCCCAACTTCCCAAAGATGGGTGCGGCCCACTACTCCTTTGCCTGAACTTCTGGGGCTCCCATGACCCCACCCCTGAAGTTCTAGGTGGTTCTTGTCTCTCTACACTCACGGCTCCCTCACCCACCCGGCCGCTTCCAGACTCAGCTCCTCCTGGGTCCTCTTCTGGGGAGCCCCAAGGTGTCCTTCTCCTCCACAGGGCACCCCGAGTCCACACGCAGCTCCATACCCACGCGGGTGCAGGGTGGGGTGACCTTCGGACTCGTAGCCGAGGCACCTGGGCTTGGAGGGGGCTGGGCTGGGCTGGGCTCGCGCCAGCCCTGTGGGACCCAGGCCCACCCACGGCCTCTCAGAACCGGGGCCCACCTAGCCCTCTCGTGCAGCTGCCCCAGGGTAACCGGCGCACCACCTGGCAGGCCTGTGGCTCTGGCCCCAGCACCTGGCCTGGGCCAAGTGAGGCCCATCCGTCCCTCTGCAAGCACTGAGCTGCGGGCAGCCAGCGGGCAGCCAGCCAGGGACACCCGCCGGGCTGGGGCGAGGACAGCAGCTACGTCCTCACGATCGGGACACCGCCACCTCTGGTCGACGCCACTCCGGCAGACGGCGTCCTCACGGGAATTACTCAACATGCTGTCGCAATGGGGCCGAGTCTGGTGTGCACACAGCTGGGACCTGGCTGTGGGCAGGACAGGCGCTAGGAGCGGCCTTCCTTAGCCCCGAACAGGCAGGATGGCCCCAAGCTGTGTCATGCCAAACACTGCTTTTGTTCTTTGGGAGTTTGTTTGTTTGTGTTTGCTTGAGACAGAGTCTCCCTGTGTACTTCAGCCTGGCCTCTAACTCACGGTGATCCTCCTGCCTCAGCCTCCTGGTTGCTGGGACTACAGCCATGCACCACCCCGCCCAACTTGAGGGCTGCTTTCTCTCCTGCTCTCTCAGGGAAGCAAGAAGGGTCCCGGCTGCCCAGAAGTGCGTTTCTGACCCCCAGGAAGTCATTTGGGTCCCCTGGCTTCACCCCCCTGTTCCCTACTCTCTCTGTCTTCTCCCCACTACGCACCCTCCTCCCCTGTCTTCAGAATCTGCAGCTTTCTCTGTGCCAGCCCATGCTGACCACCCCACAACACCAGCTGGCCGTGAGCATGTCACCTCCAGGATACACCAGGAAGAGGGCACATCATTTCACAGGGAGGGAGGCTGAGGCAGGGAGGTGCAGCACACAGTCAGACCTCAGTTCTACTCTGGGTTCCTGGTCCCCATGGGCAGAGCAGAAGCTAGGCTGTGCCCCGTGTGTCCTCCGGCGGCACGCTCAACTCAGACCTGCTCTGACCAGCAGCACGGGTGACCAGAGGGATTGGGACAGGCACACAGCTCTAGACACAAAGCACTGGCTGCCCAGAGCCTCCCGGCCCACCTTAGGGCAAAGCCCCTACTCCTTGGTGTCTCCCCTGGGGAGCCAGTCCGTCCAGGTCCCCCTGGGCCTCACACCTCAGACCCCGGGGCCCCTTTACCAGGTGTCCAGGGAAAAACAGTCTGGCCTCTGAGCCTGGCACAGGGTCTGTAACCAGGGCTGGCGATGTCATCCCTGCAGCAGCAGCCTCAGTGACAGGTGTTGGATGCAGTACTCATGTTGAAGGGTCCCCACACTGGACGTGGTGACACATCCCTGTAATCCCAGAACTCAAGAGGCTGAGGCAGGAAGCTCTCTGGCAGTTCAAGGCCAGCCTGGGCTACATGAGTGTAAGGCCAGAGCTGATTACTTGGTGAGACCGTCTCAACAAAAAGAAGCAGGAGGAAGGGAAGAAGGGGAAGAAGGACCCCAGCATCTCCCAGCAGCGTCCCCCACAACCCGGCCCCAGCACCAGCTGCCCCAGGGACTCCAGCCCCAGCCTTTGGTCTCCAGGTCCCTCCTTCCTCCTCAAAGCACCTGATCACCATGCAACCCCAGGCAGGAGGCAGAAGCTCCCAGAAGGCTCGGAGGGTGACAGCCCTGTGTCCAGGACGCAGCCGCGAGGCTGGGCAATGGTTTGACAGACTGAGCACACAGAGAGCTCAGTGTCGGCCCCACTGGAGCGTGAGCACAAACACTTGAGTTTGTGTGTTAAAGGGGCTTAGGACAATTTAATAGCTCATAAAGTTTTACAGTCCCGGTTGAAACCAGAGTGATAACTCTGGCTGCACAGCTATCTCTCGCTAAACGCCCCGTGTCTAATTTTTCTCCCAGTTATTGGAAAACTAGCATCTGCCTTGCTGGGGGGTGTGCGAGTCTATTTTTCTGGAAGAGAGGTGAGCAGTCGGCTCACATGCCTTGGCCTCGTCCCACGATGCCATCCTCTCGGTCTCTAGGACCCGAGATGAGAAAACGCAAAGCTGGCACCAGCTTTGGAGAGCCAGGTCTGTTGGGGCCAAGGTCAAAAGCCGGTGGAGACCTTCCCAAGTCACAGCCTGGCAGGCGTAAAGCTCCTATTGTGTGCACGGCAGGGTCCCCAGAGGATGAAGATGCAAATTCCAGGTCTGAGGTGCTGCCTGCAGGAAGCTGGACTGAAGCCAAACTCTGCACCCAGGAGAGGAGCAGTGGCCTCTGCAGACGCCGCCTTCCCAAAGGCTTCTGGGAGGAGGTGGAGCTCCTCTCCGCTGCAAGGAAGAGCAAGATTCACAGTTGGGTGGAAGGGATGACAGAAGAGCCATGTCCGGGCTGCATTTCCCTCCAGAACATCGGCTGACCTTGGGGAGCCTCAGTTTCACCACCTTTTAATGGGAACTGTGTTCGTTGGCAGTTGCAGGGATTGAATCCAGGGCTTCTGCAATGAGCTACATTCCCAGTCTTTTTTCACTTTGAGAGTCTTGGTGAAGCACCCAGGCTGACCTTGAATTGCCCTCCTCCTGCCTTGGCCTCCCAAAATTCTGGAATTACAGGCGTGGCCAGCTCAGTGGGAACCACTTAGCACCTGCACTGTAGGATCAGTGTGAGGAGAAAATAAACTGCACAAGCACGTTTGTGCACAATGTCTGTAAAACAGACATTGAGGAAAACGGTTTAGCAGCTTCTGAAAAGTTAACCACACAATTACCCTGTGGCTCAGCAACCCCACTCCTAGTAACTTTCCCAGAGGACTGAAAACAGGGTCTCAAACAAACCCAGGTACATGCAGGCTCCTGGTCATGCTTTTCACAATGACCCACATGTGAATAACACAGGCGCCCATCAGCAAAGGGACAAAGTACGGTCCATCCACATTGTGGAATATCACGCAGCCGTGAAAAGAAGCCCAGCGGTGGCACACACTTCAGCAAGGGGACCTGGGAACATGGTGCTCGATGAAAGAACCAGGTCCAGCATTGTGTGGTTCTACTGCTGTGAAGTAACCAGATCCACAGGGACAGGACAGAGGCTTCCAGCCTGAGGCAGGGGAGTGGGAGGAGTAACTGCCTTTCTTCTGGGGCCATGACCGTGTCCCAGCTGCAGAGGCGAGCGAACCTAGCCCCACTGCATCAGGCACTTGGACCTGATAAGTTAGTGCCGTGTGAATTCCTTTTAATGAAGGACAGGGCTCGTGGGATGCTCCCCACGCCCCCGACCCCCAAGCCGGGCAGAGTGAGCGTGTACCCCTCTGCGACACGGGTGTCTCGATGCAGGGCATGGGGCCCCACCCAGAG